ATATGTCTTTTTTCTTTCCATTTTGCTTTTCGCATTTTTTTTTAACCATCCATGACTTGGGTTTCACAATACGTCACCAGTTGTCTCTGATGACTGGAGTGAGTGTTCCCTGGGAAGTCCTTTGAGTCCCCAGAGGACAGCCAGGAGGCCAGCACAGAGTCACCCTAGCTAGATTAACATTGGAGATTTTTATTGGGGGATCATCTTTATGGAGGAATGACTTTTCCAAGAGTCTAAGTGGTTTCCTGGGTACAGAAATTTTCTCCTCTTGTTTTCAAAATAGTCATTCACAAATCCATGGTGGGTGAAGACCTCAAGTCCACAGGTGGCCTGGAATAGCAAAGAGGCCTGGCATGGGGCTGAGAGAATCCTCCCCACTGCTCTCCCCCAAACCAGCAGCCTCCTTTCCTCCTGTCATGACCAGGGAAGTGTCTTCTTCTCATCAATGCCCCCGCAGGACCCTAGGACTTTGCTCCCGCACCCTGCCCCTTCTCTCCTTGGCATCTCACCTGCCCCTTGCTAGAAGGCATTTCTTGCAGCACACATACATGAGAGCTCTCGGTTCAAACACGTGCTCCAGCCCAGGCTCCCTCCAGGTACCGCCTTCCCCACTTGTGCTGCTGTCCTCCATAGCCAGCCTCTTCAGACACAGCTTTACATAGGCACTTCCTCTTGTCATTTCGGCCCATACCATCGGGGTTCCATTGTGTTGGAAACAGCGCCCATCAGTCACCAGTCACCCGCACAGGGCCCTATTGAATGGGCACATGCCACATGCCTGTCCTCACTGGGCCACGCCTCCTTCCTCCTTGAACACTCTCTTCTCTTGGCTTCCAGGCTTCACACTTGGCTGGGTCTCTTCCTGCTTCTCTGGCGACTCCTGTTCAATCTCTTCCGCAGCAGTGTCTCTGTCTGCCCTTGAAGTGCTGGTATCCTGGGATCAGTCCTGGATGCCTTTTTCTTTTCTCTCTTCTCCATCTCCCCCCAGGTGGCCCCATAGCCCTAAATCACATCTGTAAACTGACAACTCTCAGGAGTGTATTCGACCTCAGCCTCTCCTCTGAGGGCCAGGCTCATCTATCCAGTTGCCAAATGTCTCCCTGAACATCTCCAGTTGGCCTGGCATCTCAAAAGTCACATGTCCAGGTTTTGATCTCCCTGTCCCCAGGCCTGTTTCTCACTCCCCTCCTCCATCCCTTCTCACCCCATAAAGGGCACCACCATCCACTAAGCAGTTACTACAAGAAATACGGTAATCAGTCTCACGTGGAGACTCTCTCTCAGCCTCCATAGTCATCAGAAGTCCTATAGCTCCTTTTTCCATCTTCACTGCCATGTTCCTGGCCTAGGCCACTGATGTCTCACCTGGGCTGTCAGGAGCCTGCTCTCCCCACTGCCCTGACAACCACCACCTCCTTCCCAAAGTCTGGGTTATATTCCCCAGGAGAGAGGTGGCAACAGGATTTGGAGATATAAAGAAAAAGAGGAGAAAGCCCAGTGTGGGCTCACGTGATGGTGGTTGGACACTTCACTCCGCAGCCTACTGGGCCATGCTCAGAGCTGCACATCTACATTTCTGGGGAGAAGCCAGAAAAATTAAAGAGAGAGCAAGGTACTGGGCCTCAGGAATATGGCAGCCTGATAGCCTACACTCACTCCGGGAGAAGAGCAGCCCCTCATCCAGGGCTGAGAACCCAGGACCCATTCTCTCGGCTCCTAGAACACAAAGGGCTCTGCTCAGAGAAGGCCCTGGCCTAGGAGCTGGCGGCCCACCAGCTGCCAGCTTTGTGGCATTATGTTTCGTTTTTACCTTGAACAGCTGAAAGGCAGGATGGTCTGCAAGGAAGAGCCCTTGGCTCCCAACCCGAGAGCCTGCCCCATAACAGAGGTCATCTGACTTCACCTTCCCCATATCAAGTCTGCCTTCAGGCTGATGGACAGGTACTCACTGGCCTGGTTTGACCTTGACTGTATCCCTGCTCCTTCCTGAGACCCAGAGTCTCAATTCTGCTCCCAGATTCTAAAAGCTGCAGAGTTCAGGGACTTGCTCTCTCTCATCCAAAGTCTCAGTCAATCCTGAGCATGTTTGAGGAAGAGTTCCTCATTTAATAAACATTCTCCAGCACTGTCCATGTGCCAGGCACTATTCTCAGCACTGGGACACAGCAATGAACAAAACATAGTTCCTGCCCTCTCACAGAGCTTACGGTCTGGCAGACGAAACAGAAACACACTAGTAAACACCTGGAGAAAAATAAAGCAGGAAAGGGAGGGGATAAGAAGTGCCATGGAGTATGCAAATTCATCGTGGATAATGTGGGAAGGCTTCACAGAAGGGTGACAGAGAAAGGGAGGGGGCCGTAGAAGTCTCTGGAAAAAGGGCTCCAGGCAGCGAGCACAGCAAGTGCAAAGGCCCTGGGGCAGAAGCTTGTCTCACAAAGAGCAGAGATTGGCCAAAGCCCAGGGAGCAGGGGGAGAAACAGAGGCAGAGGTCAGGAAAGAGCTGGAGCCAGCACATGCAGGCCCAGGAGGGCTTCAGGGACACAGCATAGGAGTGGCAGGGTGTGTGGACTTTAACAGGACAACTGTTGTTGGTTTAAGAGTGGACCACAGTGGGGAAGGTGGGAGCAGGAGACCGTAGGACATTGTGATTACCCAGGTATGAGCTACCAGTGGCTTGGCCCAGAGGTGGGGAAAAATGGACAGATTCTGGATACGGTTTCGGGGTCAAGCTGCCAGGATTTGCTAATGATGTGAGGCAAAGTGGCTTTGGGCTCAAGCATCTAGAAAAATGAAACTGCCTGTGCAGAATGTCCATCTCGCTTAACTGAATGCTCTCCTTAAACAGATGCCTTTCCCCACTGATATGGTTTGGATCTGTGTCCCTGCCCAAATCTCATGTCAAATTTTACTCCCCAGTGCTGCAGGTGGGGCCTGGTAGGGGCAGTGTCTTATGGTTTAACACCATCCCCTCTCTGTGCTGTCATTGCCACAGTGAGCTCTGAGATGTGCTTATTTAAAAATTGCGTGGCACCTCCCTCCCGCTCTTGCTCCTGCTCCAGCAACATAAGACACACCTGCATCCCCTCCACCTCCTGCCGTGATTGTAAGTTTCCTGAGGCCTCCCTAGAAGCCGAGCAGACGCCGGCATCATGCTTCCTGTACAGCCTGCAGAACCATGAGCCAATAAAACCTCTTTTCTTTATAAATTACCCAGTCTCCAGTATTCCTTTATGGCAATGCAAGAACTGACTAATACACTCATCTTTGACCACTTAGAAGACTTTCAAAGAGCTATGCAGCAAGTGTGGGTGATGGACACGGTTTGTCTGCCTATGTTATACATTTCCTAACCGCCATGTTACCAACCCTCCTGTGGTATGTGGTTTGTTCCTGTTTGGGTCCTTAGAGTGGTTTACTGACTTTATTTTTTACACCTATCCAAAAAGCTCCAACTTATTACCATTTATTTAATTCATAGTTTAATCAATTTGTTCCCCAGTAAATACACAGAGGTAACAAATATTCCCAAAGACATAATTCTAAATCTGGAGTTCATGGCAAAATGGGACTAGGCGGAGCAGACATTTAGGCTGAAAAATATGCTATACTTCTGGGTTTCAAAGTCCAAGAAGAAATGGATTTGTAAAAAATTATTAGAAAAGAAAATAATCTTTACATTTTTAAAAACTAACACTATTCTCTCCAAGCTATTATTTCATGAAACACACGGGCATGTGCACACATGCACAGGCACACACATACACACACTTCAAAAACACAAACATGATGTCAAAAAACAAGTATTGTGTACACTGCATGAACTCTTAAGACCTGGATAAAAATTAATTTGGCTATTAGAAATAGATGAGATAGGAAAGTACGTTTGCTAACAATGTAACCCCTTCAAATGGAACAATACTGAATTAAATAAACTTTTAAAACACTTTCTTTAAGGAATGTCAAAGAGCCTGAGTCACAGTTCTTCTTCTTTTTTTTAATCAAAGTCATGTTTAATTAAGTTGCTTCCATTTTACAATGCATAAAATAATCATATACTATTTAAACAGGCAGAAACGAGTTAATCTGCATTTATAGAACATAGTTTTTTGGGTGGGAAAAACCTTCTTTTATCATTTCATCCTTACTACTTAGAGGAAACAGACATATGATGGTTCTAACTCATTTTTCAACTTCAATTATTCATTCAGTAGAAGCTATACTTCAAGTACCCACACAACCATTCTGCTTTTCACTTTCAGTGTAATCTTCAAAAATTACATGAGATATTCAACACACTTTATTATAAAATAGGCTTTCTATTAGACAATTTTGCCCAACTGTAGGCTAATGTACTGTTCAGAGCACTTTTAGGGTAGGCTAAGCTATGATGTTCAACTTTTGGTATTTTCAACACACAGTGGGCTTATCTGGACATAAACCCATCCTAAGTTGAGAAGCATCTGTATACCCAACATTGGTTATGTATACTTTCTTTAAATGTTCATTTTAAAAATAAAACTTTCTTCACATCAATCCTGTGATGTAGGTCTTTAATTTTTAAAACTGCAAAACAGCTTCCAAGATGCGCTCTTAGGGATTCATACAATATAATACAGCCAAAACAACTGCTATGACCTCTCAAATATTCACAAATCAAGGCTGGGCACGGTGGCTCATGCCTGTAATCCCAGCACTTTGGGAAGCTGAGGCAGGAAGATCCCTTAAGGTCAGGAGTTTAAGACCAGCCTGGCCAACATGTGAAACCCTATCACTACAAAAAATACAAAAAATTAGCCGGGTGTAGTGGTGCATGCCTGTAGTTCCACCTACTAGGGAGGCTAGGGAGGAGGATCACTTGAACCCAGGAGGTAGAGGCTGCTGTGAGCTGAGATTGCACCACTGCACTCCAACCTGGGTGACAGAGTGAGAACCTGTCCCCCCACAAAAACTATTCACACATCACCCAGTATTAAGGAGGGGTCATCATTCAGAGAGGGTTTTCTAAGATAATCTATTAAATTACAATTTATAAAGAAATGTTTATAAATTTTTATGAAGTTATGAATTTCTAAATATAAAAGTATAAATTCACATAGAGCTGTTTAAGAAGTTTCCCTCTGAGAGGATTATAAACTATGCAATCTGCTACACGTGATTTCAAAGAAATGATAAATTATATCTAATGTGTAGGTATAATAATAGAATCAATTTTTGATATTTAAATTATCCTAAAACCTGCTGAGTGTGAATACTCTTAAACCTTTCTTTTCTGTTTGTGCTTCTGTCTGAGAACGGAAGAAGGGATGGAGGCTTCAAATGACTGCAATTCTTCAGATGATTTATTGTGACCGCTAGTAAAATATTTTTTTTCCAGAGTCCAAGGGCAAGATAAAAAGTCTCTGACTTGAAATCAGAGTTGATCTGCTGATCTGCTAGCCACAGCTCGAGTATTGCCATAAACCTTGGAAGGACGATTTCCCAAGATTAGGTTACAAATGGCAGTTCTTGCCATCTTGATGTTTTGGAAGGAGCCAAGGATGTGAACTCTCACATCAGCCAAAACTGTCCACGTCTGTGTCACATTTTCTATGGTGAATTTGGTTTTTCCTCCTTTGCCAGCGATTCTTCCTATTGCCTTGGAGAGATGGTCTCCCTTTAAGGGTTTAACATCTGTGATTTCAAAACACTCTAGGAAGAAGTCATCCAACCTGATGAGGGCAAGGGCACGCTCCACCTGAAAGCTGAAAATAAAGGCTTTCACAAAATCAGCTGCTTTTGCCAGAGCACTACCATCATTGGTTTTTTTACAAGTCCCGATTTCTACATTCCTTGATTTTGAGTTAAAGCTTATCTGAAGACCCAAATGTTCCACAACAGGAGTAAATATCTTCATCCAGTTTCTTTTGATGGTGTGCATCTGTTAGCCGGGACTGGAATCTTCCTTGTTTCTTCTTTCCCACTCAGGAGCCTGTCACCACAGAGGGGTGGGAAGACGGGCATCTTCGCCAGCCTGGTCTCTTCTGTGTCCATAAGGCCCGCATCCCCGCCCTCTCCCGCTGCGGACAGCTGTTCAGCCTGTCGTTTCTTAGCCCTCTGGCCACCCTTGCAGGTGACCTGGGTAAAGCCCTCCTCTGCCCTGGCGCTCTGTGCTTCCATTTCCGAGTCCAACCCTGGGAATCTTCCAAGTCACAGCTCTTCAATAGGCACTGTGCGGTGCACAAAGCGTGGGTTCACTGATGTGCAGGTGGACGGCCTCCCAGACACAGGGATGCATGACATGGAGCTCAGGGGAGAAGTCCATGGAGATAGGGGTCGGAGTATCATCACCCTGCAGATGGTGTATAGATCGCCTTGGGGCTGAGTTTAGAGGAAGAGCACAGAGCCTGGGGCTGGGCCATCTGGGGCCCGAATGTTCAGAGATCAGGTGATGATGGGACTCACTGAGGATGGTGAAGAAGTGTAACCAGTCAAGGAAGAGGAGGATCAAGAAAGACAGTGATATGGTTTGGCTGTGTCCCCGTCCAAAATCTCACTTGAATTGTAACTCCCATAATCCCCATGTATCAAGGGAGAGACCAGGTGGAGGTAACTGAATGATGGGGGCAGTTTCCCCTACGCCATTCTGGTGATAGTGCCTGAGTTCTCATGAGACCTGATGGTTTTATGTGTCTGGTAGTTCCTCCTGCATTCAGTTTTCCTTCCTGCCACCATGACTGTAAGTTTCCTGAGGTCTCCCCAGCCATGTGAATGAGTCAATTAAACCCCTATTCTTTATAAATTGCCCAGTCTCAGGCAGTTCTTTGTGACAGTGTGAAAATGGACTGATACAGACAGCGTACAGGAATCCAAGAGGACAAAGTCCTGCATGGATGAGCCAGAGATTGACCGTGTCAAATGCTGCCGACGGGTCAGGAAAGAATAGAAGTGAGAACTGACCACTGACTTGTACAAGGTGAGGGTCACCATTGACCTTGATGAGAGCAGCTTCTGAGGTGTGAGGAGCCCAAAGGACCACCTTGAATAGGTCTGAGAGAGGCTGGGACGAATGATACAGAGGTGAGCAACACAGCCAACTCCTTATGGTGTTTTCCTTCAAAGGAGACAGAGAAATCTGGCAATATGGCCCTTTGGTCAAAGTGTTTTTAAGGTGGAAACCTTAACGTCTGGGTTGCTAATTTGAATGGTCCAGAGGAGTGGCAATGGCTGGAGTGAGGTACTGGGTTAGGTGAGGTGAGATGGGAGCCAAGGATCTCCCACGGGAGGTACAGCAGCTGAGTCCTGCAGCAGGCAGGGTCTGGTGTGGACTACTGGGATCTTACCATCTGAACTTATCATTCCCCTAGGACCTAAGCCCCAACAACAAACCAGCCAACTGGGCTTGGTTAGCCAGGTGGTTCCTATCAATTCCAGTCTCTTCCTCTTCCATGTAAGCCCATTGGGCTGAATTCCCAGCTTTCCTTGCAACAAGTGAAATTGAGTTAGGACAATATAGTCATTACCCTCAAAGAACAATATAACGTTGTATGTGTGAAAACAACACTGCTTAACAAAAACCCATTCTAAACAACCAAGGCAAATGCATGGGTGCTGGGTGAGAGAGCCAGCACATCCCTGATGGGCACTCCCAGAGGCTGCCCGGAAAATGCTGGCTTTGTTCAGGTGCGGAAGTGATGGGGAATGCAGAGGGGGCCATGTGCCAGGAAACTGGTGCAGTACATAGAGACTGATGCGTTGTGTGTGCAAAGCATGACCCAAGGACCCAAGTCAAGAAGGGACTTGGGAGGAGACAAAAATGGATCTTAGCGTCAGGGTTACGACAGAAGTAACACACAGAACTAGAGCGTGGAGGGATTTAGAAGGCTCGTTAGAGGAGTGGGGCTGAGCACTGGACTTTGAAGGCTGGGTAGGATTTGGCAATGGCAGGGCCCAGAAGGCAGCAAAAAGTGAAGGATGACAGGAGCAGGTCAGGAATTCTGAGGCCAGCACTCACAGGCTGAGTTTAAACAGGATCCTGAAGGCGAGGCAGCCACAGACAGCTCTCGAGAAAAGCATGACACACACGCAGAATCATGTTTAATGATGCTCAATGGCGCCGACACTGGAGGTCTGGAGATAGGGTGGCCAGAGCAGTGGCAGAGGGAGTAGAGACCACACCCAGTCACCGACTACTTCATGCAGACGCCAGAACTGGGGGGCTAATTGGAAAGGAAAGAAGGTCCCCAAGACAATGTTAAGGTTCTGAGTGTGAAGGCCTGGGTGTGTCACCTGAGCTCTGTGGAAGGAGATGCTGTTTGTGGGAACTGAAAGGCTTGGTTTGCACATGGTAAGTTTGAGGTGTTGTGAGTTTCCCAGGCAAAAATGCCCAGGAGGCATCAAAACCAGTGTCTGCAGTTCAGGAGTGAGGTCCTGGCTGGAGACCCAGATGTAGCAATGTCGGCACAAGGATGAGGCTCAAAGCTGAGGAGATGGATGATGCCAGCGAGGGAGAACGCTCAAGGTAAGAAAAAGTGAGTCTCACTGATCAGGTACAGGAGCTGCCATCACACCTGTGGCAGGTAGACTGCTGGGCAGTGTACCTTCCTCCCCATCTGCCTGGGTCTCACCTGCCCTTCCGGGCCTGGCCCCACCCCCTCTGGGAAGCCCTCTCTGGCTACTCCATCCCCCAGGCATCCTTCCCCTGCTGTGAGCTTCTCAGCCCTGGCCAGCCCCACCTTAGCACTGGGTCTTGCGTTGCCACCTTGGTGTAGTCCCCAAGCACCTTGAGGGCAGGATGACAGTTAATCCCCATGGGCCATTGCATTTTCTGGCACAGAGCACCCAAAAGGCACTGATCTAATAGGTCCTACTCCTTGATGAATTAATACATTGATCAGTTGCTAAAATGGAGATCAAGAAAGAAAGGTGAGTTTAATTAGAGATAAAAAGACTCTCAGATGTTAGACTCATACAGCATCTACTCTTCTGCGTCTGGCTTACTGATTCATCATGATGAACCAGGTCTACATGTATCAGCATGGACACATGTCAAAATCACTGTTGCGTAAACATAACAAGTCGCAGATGTATGTTCAACCAACGGGAGTAGTCACAAGCACTATAAATACCAAATATTCCAGGTTCTCTCAAGCACAAGGTAGGAATGCCCTTCCCTACTCCCATGGAGGTAAGCTGAGTGTGGCCATGTGACTTGCTCTGGCCATTTAAATGTGAGCAGAAGCTTCCAGGTGGAACCATTTTTTCCTTCTTCCTATCACAGACCTTTCTCAAATGTGTATAGGAGTGAAATACACATGTTCATTGTAGTAAAAAAGAAATAAATAAAGGAGGAACTGAAGCTAAGGCAAAACTGTGGGACTGCAGAGGGGTGTGTCCAGTGATTCTGGGTAGGGGCACCCTTGGCAATTTGGGGAAACAAGGGGTTGTAAGGTTGGTGGAATGGAAGGTCAGCATCCCTGGCCCTATCCCTGAAATGCCGGAAGTGTCCTGAGTTATGTGACAATCAAAATGCCCTCTCCCTCCTTCACCATTTCCAAACACTCTGAGGGGTGGTGCCAGCCCCAAGGGAACCATGAATGCAGAAGAATCACCAGACGCAAGGGTGGGAGGCACGGTCGCAGCTTGAGACAGCCAGGCTGGGGGAGGAAAGGTTGTGACACCGTAATCAGTTCCGTACGTGCCCAAATTGCATGTGACAAGTTGAAAGAGAGAGGATGCCTTCCATAGCCGACAGAACAGAGGGGACTGTCCTGGAAGGAGACTGATGAAATGGATATACTAGTGGTAAACGGCACCGTTGTCAATTTTTTTTTTTTTTGAGACGGAGTTTTGCTCTTGTTACCCAGGCTGGAGTGTAATGGCTCCATCTCGGATCACCGCAACCTCCGCCTCCTGGGTTCAAGCAATTCTCCTGCCTCAGCCTCCCGAGTAGCTGGGACTACAGGTGCACCCCACCATGCTCAGCTAATTTTTTGTATGTTTAGTAGAGACGGGGTTTCCCCATGTTGACCAGGATGGTCTCGATCTCTTGACCTCGTGATCCACCTGCCTTGGCCTCCCAAAGTGCTGGTATTATAGGCGTGAGCCACCACGCCACGCCCACCAATGTCAATTTTTTGAGCAGCTATGAAGTGTAGTCTTTACATGGAATCTCACAGGGTCCTCTGAAAATCCCACATCATTCTCCCCCTTTTACAAATAGGGAAACTGAGGGCTGAAGAGCTGGGGGCTAGGTAATGGGGCAGAGATGACAGAACTCAACTGAGAGGAGGATTCTGAAGCAGAGCAGATGGGACTAAGGGAAGACCTGGACGGTGGGTGGGAAGGGAGCAGGACCCATGCCAGCTGGAGGAAGAAGAGAAGAGGACTCAGGGTGATCTTCCCCCCTAACCCCGCCACCTTCAGCTAATCCAGATTGTGTCGGTAGAGACATCTGGCAGAGAACTGGTTGGGGTGTGACTCCTGCAAGCTGCCCTTCTGGGGGCTCAGAGGACCTGCCTTTCAGGGAAGATGGGAACCTCCCCGGGTGCACATGGAATGCTGCTGGGGAAAGCTCCTGGGACACCACGAAACACTCAGCAGCCCTCAGAGCCCACAGACAGCCTCTGAAGCAAGAAGGAAGAGAGCCAGTCGCGTGAGCAGGCACTTCATCGATCCTGCAATCCAGCCTCTGTGTGGCCTCTAAGGGACCCTGTGGCATGAGAACACAGAGACACACGAGGGCGCTCTAACCAAATAGCAGGAAAGGAACAGCATCCAGCCCCACACGGAAAGAGGGTTGGCATTTTCAAAGACCCTTGGTCCAGGGTTTCTGAGCGCAGCCGCTATGGTATTTCAGGCAGTAGATTTCAGGGGCATTTGCTACCCCTGGCCCCCTTCCCATCACTGACCACCCTGTTCCACACATTTCCAAGCACCCCCTCTCCTGAGAGCCCCTGCTGGTCAGTGCCACCAGAAGATGCCAACTGGTGGCCCTGGGGAAGGCGGTGGTCTCTGCTGTCCCCCAGCCTCACAGAGGACTCCCGTGCCTCCCACGCTGACTCTGTGAGTTAGGAACTTGCAGGTGCTGGAGGATCAGAGGTCCCCAGTGACAGTCTGTGTTGGCGCTGGCTCATGGGGACCGTCCTTGGGAAACACATTTTCCTCCACATTGGTTGTCCTTCAGGGTTGTGCAGGACCG